TGCTTTTCAAATAAAAATAGATAAATCTTTTTTAAAGGAAGGAAGGAAGGAAGGAAGGAAGGAAGGAAGGAAGGAAGGAAGGAAGGAAGAAGGAAGGGAGGGAGGGAGAAAAAAGAAAAACTGAGGAAGTGTTGTTTTGTTTTGAGAGAGAATTCAGAAGTGGCAAACTCCATCAGTCTCCCGCAGGAGTGGCAGGATTCCCGTTAGAACAGCCTTGTCACTGACTGCCTCCAAGGTGTGCATTCGCAGCAAGCAGGAATATGGAGCAGGGGAGGAACTAAGTAGGCCATCTGGGATGCAGGGATCTCAAACTGGGTATTGACTGCTATACCAAGCCCATCCCTCAGTGCAGTCTTGAATTTGAATCTGATGCTTTGCCGGCCACCCTGGTCCCCCTGCGGCTGGTCATCAAGGCTACATCTGCAGAGTCCCAGCACGATGCTTCCAAGTGGCTTCTCGGGAAGTCCTGCCCTTCCAAGCCTCCCTCCCCTGCTTTACTCAGAAACATCTGTGTGTAACTGTGCATAGATAGCATGCACACACATGCACACGCAGTGATTTCGTCTGCAGAAAGGGAGAAAGAAAAGCAGAAAGAAGACTCCAGACTCAGACAGGGAGAGGAAGGGCAGCTGAAAAGAACCTCTCTGCCCACCCTAAGGGGAACATCCCCTGCCAGGCCTGGTGCTGCTTGTCATGGAGGCAAGAGGCCACCAACGCCAAGGGCACAGGTCTTCAGGGGACACGGGAGCCTAGAGAAAAGGAGAGAAGAGAGAGGAACCATGGCAAGAGAGGCACCAGCTGGGCACGCACTGGAGGACAGGAGGAGCAGCCTGTCAGCTGCTGAGCTGGCAGCCTGGGGCAGTGCGCGGGGGAGGGCAGGTCAATGCTGGCTTCATTCACCACCCTGCCCTTTTGGCAGCAGGCACAGGAAGAGCCATGAGTCTGCTGCAGAGGCAGCAAGGCTCAGCAGGAGCCCTAAAGTTGAGAGGTCTCTGCTGCAGCAGGTGCTGCGCCCTGGCCGCCCCCTGCCCCACAGACCCCCATGTCTACAGGCCCTAGGCACAGGTAGCCTGGGTCTCCCTGCAGCTCTGCTAAATGTCAGCTTTTCTGCTCCACCAGTGTGGTCCAGGCTGGGTCCCTGGGGGCAGTGCAGATTAGCCTCCTGGATTAAGCATTCCTGCCTCCCTCCCCCACTCAAACACTCACCAAGTGCAGGGGTGGGAGTGGGGGTATGCAAAGCACAGGCCTCACTCAGGATGTTGCTGTGCTGTTACATTCAATTCACCACTCAGCTCCTGTGGCATTTAGGGGCAGGATGGATGGGAGCCCACCCCACACCCTCAAACTGTGGGAGCAGCAACTAGCTGTGTATTAATGATGCTGGCAATTAGTGATTGCCAGAAAATGGCCAGGGCTGGGCAGGGTGGGGCTGGGGGTGGGGTGCTTACTAGGGGACCGTGGGAGGGAAAAGAGCACACACTCCCAGCACGGAACAAATCGGGGGTGGGAGCAGAGAACCTGGGGCAAGCAGCTCACTCCCGGGTTTATCCAGAGAATAACACGTGGGTAAGGATGGCATCCGTGGGCACTAAAGGCCATCCTGTCACACCGCCCCCACTAGAAGCTCTCAGAAAAGGCACTGGGGGATGTCATCCAAAAGACCTTGTGGGGGTTCTGGAACATTCTTTCCTGTATGTGAGTCCTAGGTCATCATGGGTACAGCTCTTCTTTTCTGTGAGATTGAAACACGCTTGGTGTGGTGGAGAAAATGCTGCTGGGGAAACCCAAATCCCAGTGCCCAGGTTCCAGGTCAGCTCCTCTGCTTCCCAATCCACGCACCCTGGGAGGCAGCAGGGAACGGCTCAAGTTCCTGGGTCTCTGTCACTCCCATGGAAGACTTGGACTGAATTCTTAGCTTCTGATTTGGGCCTGGCCCAGCTCAAATTGTGGACATTTGGTGAGTCAACCAGCAGACAGAAAACCTCTGTCTCTGATTGTCTGCCTATCTGTCTCTTGTTCCCGTTCCGTGTGTGTGTGTGTGTGTGTGTGTGTGTGTGTGTGAGAGAGAGAGAGAGAGAGAGAGAGAGAGAATCAATCTGCCTCTCAAACATACAAATAAATATTTTTTTAAAAAACCCTTGCCGAGTGAAATGGTCCTTTTCGACCCTTGCTCACCTCAGCAGGGTGAGGAAGAGAAAGGGGTAGAGGGGGAGCTTGGAGTGCATCATGAAGAGAGCGACTTCTTAGGTGGAATCTGTGCACAAATTCCCTTACCAGGCAAGGCTGTGTGGCCCTAGAGAGTGTAAGGAGAGGGCGTGAGGAGGCCCTGGTGGCAGAAGGAAAGATAGCAGCAGTGCTGTCTCAGAGGTCAACAAGCAGGACAGGTGCAGAGGTGATTAGAGTGCCACCTGGAATGCTCACATCCCCACTGGGGCACCACTGCTCTGCTTCCAGAGCCAGCTTCCTGCTAATGCACAGCCTTGAGGCAGCTCAAGCAGGTGGGTCCATGACAGCCGTGACGAAGGTCTAGAAGGAACGCCTGGCTCTCGGCTTTGGCAAGGCCCAGCCTAGGCTGCTGCGCGCAGTCAGGGAGTGAACCATCAGATGCAGGGCTCTATTTCTCTCTTTATATTTCTGGTGTGAAAATAAGTTCATTTTAAAATGTGCTTTTTTAAGTCGACAGCCAGTTGGAGGGGCAGCACAGGAACAGCTAAGGAGGAGGCTGCCTCGTTCTGCTGAGGGTCTGCAATGCACCCGCCTCTGGTGTTGCCAGCATCGTCCCCCTCTCACCCCCGCTTTCCCCACGCTCTCTTTCACACACACATCCCCCTCACCACAGAGAAGCTACAGAACAGGGAGGAAAAGGAGCCAGACAACAAGGAAGCAATACAAACCCTACAGGGTGAGCAAGACACACGGGAACAAGATGGCCTGAGCTTTGAGAGGAGCCAGAAGGAGATAAGCCAGCATTTGGGGGTGAGAAATGAGACTAAGCTAATAAGCACTGAGAGCGAGCACCAATCACTAATAAATACTACCCAGAGAGCAGCTAAAAATCAGATGAGCTCAGCCTCCTCCTATAGGAGATTGAGTTCCTTGTGATCTCTCCATCACTCAGTCCAGGGTAGAGAGAAGACGAGACATGCTGAGGACAAAGAGGAGACACGGGAGGACAAGGGTGACGGAGGACACTTCTGCCCAGAGAGAAGGCAGAGACCTCCGTGGGCAAGGCTCCGTTGGATGCCCCCCACCCTGCTTGTCAGGTTCTGTCCCCATGACAACAGTAGGTGAGGCATCAAGAAAGGTCTATCATGCTGAAGGTTGGACCCTGACAGGAGGTATGAAAGCCACAGATATGTGCTCCAGCGCATGCCTCCAAATGGCCCGTGTGGATGCACTGAGAGACAGGGACCTCTCAGAGGTCAAGGGAAAACGAGGCCACGAGGGCAGGGCATCACAGCCAACGTGACTGGTGTCCTCGCAGGACAGAGGGCCCAGCAGCGACAGCAGGGGAACACCTGTGCAGAAACACAGCCGTGTGCAGAGGTAGCAGAAGGGGGACGGTGAACGTGCGCAACAGCAAGCTAAGCAGAGGCACCCCAAGCTGCACCTTGATCTTGAACCTGCAGTCTCCACAATTGTGAAAAAGTAAATAAATGCCTGCAGCATAAGCCATCCAGGCTGCAGTATCCTGTTTTCACAGAAGCCCTAGCAAATCAATCAGGAAGGCAACATTAGAGCCCAGCATTGTGGTGAAGTGGGTAGATCTGCTGACTAAGGCACCAGTCTCCTCTATAGGCACTGTTCTACTTCCCAAGCAACTCCCTGCTATTAGCCTGGGAAAACAGTGGAAGATGACCTCAGTGATCGAGCCCCTGCCACCCATGTGGGAGACCTGGATAGATCTCCTGGCTCCTAGCCATTGCAGCCATTTGGAGAGGGAACCAGTGTAGGGAAGACCTCTCTCTCCCTGCCTCTAACTCTGACTCTCAAAAATATACACATATTAAAAAAAGGGGGGGGGGGCAATGTCACCAGGGAAAGACAAGTAGAAGATCAAGGAAGATGGCAAATCTAAATGAAGGCCCTGGCCATAGGAGTATTCATTATTTCAAGTCTTTGGGAAGGCAGCCAACTGACACTGGTTGACTGGGTTGACTGGAACATGTGCTGAAGTCATCCTCGAGTGGCAGAGAGAGTATGCTTAAAGGTCGGATCCCTTTCATTGCATTGACACTTGAAGAACATCTACCACCCACTCCTGTGAACTCCCTTATCTCAGCCCGTTTTGAGACGTTGGGAGGCTCAGAGACCTGAAGGGGTGGTACAGAAAGAAGTCAAGTGGTCACAGCTAAATCCCTTTTGGACTGCCCAACTTCTCACTGGAAGTTGAGGAAGGAAAGAAAGGATGGAAATGGATAAAGTCAACTCTTCTGGATCCTTCTGGATCTTCGGAGCCCAGCATCCCAAACAGCAGACCCAGACCCAGCATATTTGCCATTTGAGCACAGGGGCTCCAAGGGGCAGCACTGAGACAGGAAATGCATGCAAGGACTATGCCCTTTTAACAAAAAGCCTCACCAAGCCATGCAGAATCTCCTAAGGCTTGCTGGGCCAAGCAAACGTGCAGGATGCCTGTCCAGACAGATGCCCAGGGGCTGTGGCCCACTGAATTTAGCAGCTGGGAGTGGGCTGCTTCAAGCAGAGGACAAAGGGTGGTCTGTTTAATCCTGGATGGCAGCCAGGAAAGGACCATCCCCTTCTGCTGAGCGTTCACCTGCCCTGCCCTGCCCTGGGAGCAGAGCTGGGTATGTTGGGCTTACTCTGCTCCCTCTACGCCCCATGCTGGACTGAGCCACAGACAGCCCACTCTCCCTCCAGGACAGGGGGACCAACCCCTTAGATGCCACCATTGATGATGGAAAAGGTGATAAAAGGGGGGTGTCCCCCAACCTACCCTCCCATCCCCCACTAACCCAACCTAACCAAGGGGGACTCACGTCTGTGGTTCTCATTTCTGTGGTTGGGTGGGGACCGGGTCTCCTGGTCTTGGGCTTCATCCCCCTCTTCGCTGGCCAGGTGAGTGTGAGCGTAGTGGTAGCTGAGTCCGGGCCGGTTCTTGTAGCGCTTGCCGCAGACTAGAAGAAAGAGGAGAAAAAAGGGGGAAAGTGCCAATGTGAGCAATCTTGGCAGTGGCTGCAGTGGGTCCCTCTGGCAGGGGTTCTAGCCACCCTGAAGATGGGACACCTACCCCACTGCTGCTTCTCCAGAAAAGAAAACCCATTAAAGGGAATGGAGAGGTTAAGGGTCATGTGTGTGTGCTCACCACCACTTCCTAGCTGTGAGTCCCTGGGCAAGTCACAGAACCTGCCTGAGCTTCAGTTTCTGCAGAGAGAAAATGGAAGGGATCCTAGCACTTACCAGGCAGGGCTGCTGCACGCACTAACTTCACTTACAAAAGCACTAGCCACTTGCCTAGGGGGCAGCTGTTCCTGCCATGTAGCATCTGAAGGATTCTGCAAGTCTGTCCAGAGTCATGTCCCCTTGGCACAGACAGGCAAGCAAGCACAGCAAGGCTAAGTGATTTTCCTGGGAGTCACATAGCTAGTGGTGGCAGGGTGATGGACACCTAGCTATCCTGGGCTCCTGTGACAGTGCTCCATTCACCACAATGAAATGGCAGCAGAGAAGTCTTACATGGATCAGAGGCTGGCTGTGCCACTTCCATGTTCCTCTCCCACTACGGAAAGCAGGCAGCCTCGGGGAGCATGGCAGCACAGTCTGGGGGAGGTGCTCTCCAACAGGCCAGCCTGTGACAAAGGCAGCAAGCAGTGCCCAGGCAGCTTTATAGGGTTGTGAATAAATGGGGCAGTTGTGTGGTGGGCTGTTGGGCACCTGGGCAGCAGAAGGCTGGCTTGCATGACTGCAGTCCCTACTCTCAGCTCTGCCTACCCACTGACCACTCCCAAGAGTAGCACGCACTTCCCTGCTCTGTTGCATATTTGAGGGCTGCCAGTTCACACGGCCCTCCCTTCCCCTTGCACTGATGCTCATGCGCTACCTACGTGAGCACAGACGCTTCACAAGGTGGAAAAGCACAGACCACAGCACTGGGTCTGGCTTCAAGTCCCACCTGTGGTTTCCAGCCTTCTTCTGGGAGTCAGTTTTTGTTTTTCAATAACCAACCACTGGCAACCACAGATAACGGCATCTTTTCTCTCTGGTATTTATATAAACCATTTCATCTTTGCTTACTTCATTGGAAGAATTGCCAAGACAACATTTTAAAACAGCAAAAGCAAGGACCTCCTATTTTAATGAAGTTGGATTCATCATTTTACTATTTAGAATGATATATGCAGTTCATTTTTAGTCTTTATCAAATTTAAGTAGTTCCTCTCCTTCCTATTTTAGATTTTTATTATAGGAGACCTTTAACAACTGCTTGTCAGCACCTTCTAATAAATGCTTTCCTTTAGTTTGTTGATATGGGGAATGGTGTTGGTTTCCTAATATTTCACATTATGGAGTCATTCTTGCATTCTAAGAATGCATTCTGTTTGTTCAGGATATATTACTCACTTGATATACTGCTGCATTCTATTTGCTAATATCACATCTGTACTCAGATTTGAGATAGATCTGCAATGTTTACACAACCTTTTACTGGGTTTCAAGTTTATGGCAATTCTTTTTTTAAAAAAAAGATTTATTTTATATTTTTATTGGAAAGTCAGATATACAGAGAGGAGAAGAGACAGAGGAAGATCTTCCCTCTGATGAGTCACTCCCCAAGCAGTCTCAACAGAGCTGAGCTGATCCAAAACTAGGAGCCCAAAGTCTCCTCCAGGTCTCCCATGCGGGTGCAGGTCCCCAAGGCTTTGGGCCATCCTTGACTGCTTTCCCATGCCACAAGTAGGGAGCTGGATGGGAAGTAGGGCTGCCGAGATTAGAACTGGTGCCCATATGGGATTCCAGGGTGTTTAAGATGAGGACCTTAGCCACTAGGCTACTGTGCCAGGTCCATCTTCATGGTAATTCTGACTTTCAAAAAGGAAGAGTTTTGGGGTGTGAAATCACGTGAGGCATACACTGAGCCTATTCTTCTTATTTGAAAATGGTGATAATAAGCCTTACCGTCAAAGACAGAGGGAATATGAATGTCGTTCACATGCATATGGCACAGAAGTTCCACCAACATTAACAGGGGCACCAGCTGTGTTTGGCAAGTTCTAGGGGTGGACATTCCTGAAAGATGGACCTTGGCCCTTACCCTCGCACTATGGGGTCTGGCAATGGGTAGGACTTCCTTGAGAAGACAAAAGCCTGAGATTCAATTTGACATGCTAGCAACTACAAGTTCTAGGCCTGTAATTCCATTGCTTATTTGTATGACCCCTCACTCTCTCTCTCTCTCTCTCCAGTGCAAGCCTATAATTCCATTGCTTACTTCCATGGTACCTCTCTTTCCTACTCTCTCTTGTAAATATAACAATTATAAATACCATGGCCTATGCATCTCAACCCCAAGTGACTCAGGACGCAGGATCCAAAGACACCGCAGTGCAGTCTAGGGCCTGCCTGTGGCCTTTTCTATTGAACTTCCTAGATGATCTAAGGTCAATAAGCAGCAAATTAGGGGGGGGTCACCAGACATGAATTCACTTAGTCACCCCGCATACTGATGAGGAGAAAGGGTTGTTGATTAAAAGCAATTGCAGCCTCAGTATTCACCCCAGGTGGCCTCCGCAGAACTCCCCTTTAGGAACTCAAGTGTTTCACTTGTGCCATTTGTTACGTCCATCATCACTATTTTCCTGGATCTTAATAAGCAAATTTATTCCCACGAATACTCCAGAAGCTTGCCCTGGGACAACTCCACTGACAGGGAGCTCACTTCCCATCACAGCAGGCCTCTCTCCTGCAGACCCCTTGAATTCTGCATCTGTCTACACTGGCACACGTCCCTTAAGGACTGCCTTGGGTAGACTGCTTCATCCTGACATTCACAACAGCACTTTCTTGGCCTCCAGGCCCTCACAATATCTTTAGAACAACTCACTAAGTAGCTCACGGTCGGATGCGTTGTGGAAAAGTAAGGAGATGGGGAAAGAGCAGCCTGGAGAGTTGGATCCACCAATGTACATTCTATCTCTTCCTAACAGCTCTTAAGACCTACAAAGCCAAACCAAAGCATCCCCAAATACTGTTCAAAAAAGTCATTTATAGAGATTTTCAAACAGAAGGCCCTACACTAGCATCATCAACATCACTTAGCAACCCATTAGAGACCTGCACCCCTGCCCTACCATATCAGTGACTCAATTCCAGCAACCTGCATTTTAACTAACTGGATGAATCAGGAATTGTCACGAAACTGAAGTTTGAGAACCACTAAGCAAAAAGATTGAATATATTCAGGTTGGACTCTGCCCATCCCATGTCCACCTGTCTTTCTTGAGGGGTGGGCATGGCAGGTGAGGGCAGCAGGGAGAGCAGGAGCCACCCTGAGATCTGAAGTTTGGTCATTAGAAGAATTAGAACCTACTGCACATGGAGGTTCCATAACCCAGACTCCTTTAGGAAAAGTGCTTTCTGGCACCACCTGTAAGTTAACAGGTCACTTCTTCATCACCAGGTTTTCAATTCAAGAAATATTTATCATTAAACACATAAGTAATGTCCAGGTCTGTGGCAGCAGCAGAACAAAGAACAAATGCCCCTCAGCTCCTTGCAGGGGAAGAGAGGCACATGTAAACAAGCAGAAAGGGGGTGAGGCAGGTGCGGCCAGGAGAGCAGGTGCCTGTCAGGAGGGGCAGCAGATGGGCTGCAGGGAGGAAGGAGGGGATGGCTTCTCAGAGCAGGAGCCAGGTCCTACAGTGGGTGAGATGGGCTGGGCAACCCAAGTAACCCAGAGGAGACAAGGACATTCTGGGCACCAAAGCACAAGCATCTGGGGTTTCTACAGAACTGGAACAAAGGAGGGGAGAGTGTGAGTGTGAAGAGGGCTCACAAGCAGGGGAGGGGCAGGATGCCATCCTGAAAAGAGGGACTCAAGGGAGCATTTTATCCAGAGGCCCAACTTAACTGAGACTTCCACGTGAGAACACAGCTTAGGACTGCAGGCCAGGAGATGCACCTGAAGGTGGTGAGAGGTTTATTCTAACTTTCTATGGATGCAAGCTGGGGTATAAGAGAGGTTAAAAGGAGGATCTGGTGGTGAGAAGGCAAGGGGAAGCCAAGAAACACCCATGGTTTCCCTGGCTGTGTGCCATCTGGCCCTACGCATCTCTCCTGCCTCAGCTGACGTGACACTCCATTCCTCCCTCAGCTCTTGTGTACACTGCTCTTCTCATTTTAAAAACATGTTTCTGGAGACTAGGGGTTGTGGCGTAGCCTATTATGCTAACATCAGCAACAACAGCATTCCATGTTATCACCAGTTGGGAGCTGTAGCAGCTCCACCTCTGACCCAGCTCCCTACTAATACAAAGAGGGAAAACAGCAGAAAATGCCCCAAGTGCTTTCTCCCATGCTACCTATGTCAGAGATCAGGGCGGAGCTCCATGCTCCAGAATTCAGCCTGGACCAACCCTGGCCATTGCAGCCATTTGGGGAGTGAAGCAACATGTGGAAGACAGCCCTCGCATTCTGCCACCCTGTTAACATCTAACCACCCTCAGATTCCAGTTCATGCGTCCTTCACTAAGAAAGTGTTTCCAAGTGGAATGAGGACTCAGTTTTCTACCTCTCGCCATGAGGAATCCTAAGTACTATGTGGCTCTGCCACCAAGAGCCAACATGGCAGGTCCCATGCGTTTGTGCACGTGGCAACCCTGGTGGCCAAGGTGGCCCTGACCTGGTGGGCCGGGTGCCTGATGTCAGCTAAGAGAAGCAAGGAAGATGCCCATGTCCCCAAGTTGAACAAGAGGAAGAAAAACAAATTTTAAAAGGGAAAAGGAGGAGTTGGGTCCGGGCTTGTCTTCTCCTATTCCTGGAGCTTGGGAGGGAGGCTGGGATCTCAGAGGTAGCTGGCAGGGTGCTAATGGGGGCTTCAGGGCTGCAGGAGAGAAGCCCAGAGGGCAGGGAGAAAGAAAAGGCAGTGCAGTATTCATGCAGATGGGTGCAGGAGGAGAAA